ATAAATTCATGTACATAGTAATTTTTATTTTATATCTGTGAATACGCAATTCAGTTCATGCTGCGAAGTGTTTACCAATAAAGTATCTATCTATCCTAGCAGGATTTCCTTCGATCCTTCTTGCATGACAAGGAAAGAGAAGAAAATGTCTTTCTGATTTTTTTGGGAAGATCGATGAAAACCTTTTCCCTGCTGGGGAATCTATCAGTAAAAAGGGACAGGAACTATCTTGTCAGTGCCTGTTGGAATTTGAAAAGATTCAGCTAATTACCTCGCTGTTTCCTCCAGTTTGGTTTTGGTTTTGGTTTCGGTGGATCGGGTACTTGCTTCGCGTTAGTCTTCTCCTGAATACCCCCAAGTTTTGTGTTGGAATCGATCACCGATCTTTTCCTTGGTATTTCGCTGTTTTCTGATGCTAAGTATTTTGGTGGACCGGCAATTTTCAAACCCGTGGAGACGAGGTTTGAGAGCTCAGTGACAAACCCTGCTTGTCGACCATTTAAGGCACGTTCTTCAGTATTAGGCAACTGGAATGGCGTTGGTCGATTACCAGTGGCAGATCCGCCTCGGACAACAGATCCATCGAGGCTGTCTCGAAATGAATTCTTAGTTTTTGGTGCATCACCTGCATATGAAAGCATTTTTCTTAAGAAATCTGTAATTATGCAGGATTCAAGTGCCTCTACAACGAAAACGTTGTATTGACAGAGATCTTCTAGGTAAATTATTGAAAGATGATAGCCTGTGCTCACTTATAAAGCTTCAACTCGACCTGCTTCCTCGCGCAAACAATACTAGTTGTATATAGAGGAATTTTCATCGAGTTTCGTAAGTAGTCTGGGATTGCTTGCAATTGGTTTTTCTTTACTTCACTCTGTGATTGGTTCAGAAAACTCGCGCCACTCTCTCGACCAATCAGATGCAAAACTAAAACCATTCACGACTTGGTCACCCGCTTTTCCCGCTCTTTAGACAGTCGGTTGTTTTTACTTTGACTAATTACAACAGCCAATCAGAAGAAAGGAAAATGCCTTTCTTCTGATTGGTCGTTGTAATAGGCTGGTCTTGGTTTTACAACACTCAATCGAAAAGCACATGAAGCCTTGCCTCATGCAATTTAAATTAAATGAGGCGAGCTTATTTAACTGGCTTAACCTAACCTCCTTTATTCTTCAAAGGATAAAGACAGAAAGTTCTCAAAAGACAACTCACTGGTCATGATCAGGGAGCTTCCCTATAGCTTATCACGCGTTATTCATTGGAATGATGCGTTTTGTACAACATTTTTGGGAAATCGTCCCCTTTAGAGAAATCCCCTCAGCTTGGGAGAAAAAATTAACTCGCACATCACGCTACAACATGAGTTAACCTGCCTACCTTCTTCACACAAAGTGTTTCTTATGTTGCTGAGTCCGTCCAAATGAGGGCTATAACGATTCCCTTCCAATTCTTTATCATCGGCCGCCGCTGCTGGATTGATTAAAAAAGGGCCTTTCGTGAACTTCTGCAACTTTTGTCTTGCTTCTGTAAGGTCCTCTCTGACGTCATCATCACAAAGAGTCCTCTTAATAAGAAGCTTGGATAAACCAGGGAACTCTTTTTCGAGCTTTTTCACTTTTTCTTCCAATTCCATTGCTTGGCTCAAACTTTTTCCTTTAATTACTTCTTTTCTCTCTCTTTGAGAAAAAGAAAAAAGATTTGCAGACACCACATAAGTTAAACTTGTAAAATTCATGTTCAAGACTCTCTCACTTCCGGAATTCGTTCCACTTGAGCTAACAAAAATTATCTTGAGTTTGTTATGTTTATAAAAAGTTGTATATGCTTCTGCCACATTCATTTAACCCATCTTGGAGAAAAGAGTTCAATAAAGTGACAGTATTGTATTGATTTCTACACAGATTCTGCAAGCCAAGGATCAATATTACTGTTACGTATCCATAACAAACAGCTAAATTTATAAACTTCAGATCAGCAGTCTGTCTGAATCTTTAAGGAAGTCAGTCTTAAACTTGTGGTGGTTTTCAGAGACGGGCGGTATTATTAATCTGAGTGAGTCGTTTGATAACATCTTATCACTATTAATTGTCTCTAGGGAGATTGAAAATTACAATAAGATCGTAGAAGGACTTGTACGGCGAGAGAATTTGCCTTCAGCCTACGGGCATGCAGGGAATCATTCGAGGGAATCATTCGAGGTGATAAAAAAAATTGAAATGTTCATGGCAAGCTCAGGCAAAAGCCAGGAGTCGCAATTCCAACTACAAAATACACTCTTCTAAGCCAAGAATTGGTGCAACAAGCGCTTTGAAAGTGGCTTTAGGAAAGGGTGCCCGCCGGCAGGAAAAATTAACAGCAATAAAAGAAACCTGATCAGGATGACGAGTACATCGTTCGGATGGGAAAAGTTAATTTGAATAACTTAAGATATTACAAAAGAAGTAAAGAAGCTATTGAACTTGGCCAGTCTTCAAGCGCTAGTTAAATTCCGTTGTAATATTTTCAAATATTTGTCGGAGTAAAACTTTTTAACATTTCGTGTTTAATGTAGAAAAAATTCAACTTACTTTGGTAGAAATGACGCACTGGTGAAGCGACCAATAGATACCTTTACCTTTCATCAATATCTTTCAAAGGTAAATGAATTTCAAAGTCTGTAGGGAACAACCACAGGCATTTTTCGCCTGAATCCTACTTTCCCGTCTTTTTATTTAGTGGGATGTACCTTCCGGTATATTTCCGGCTTTCGATTCTAGGAAAACCAGAGGAAAGGGGGAATTTTCATTTGGTGACGGAGATGGGAGGGAAGGTTCATTGGGTGTTGGGAATAAGAAAGAACATCGAAAAATTGAAAAAGAAACAAAAAGAAAGAAAGAAACCTCTTCTGTCTTAATTTTTCTTTTGTTTATTTGCTTGTGGCTCGTAAAGAACAGTGAATCATGGTCTCAAAAGAGACACCAGTTAGTCTTCCCTCCCTACCCCTCTCAGCCTAATTTTAAGTTCTCTTAACGAGTTACTGCTGACTTACATATCGCGGGCACCGTGCTAAGCATGGGCCTCTTTCGCCTCTTTATAGATAATCTGTTGTGCATACCAGTACGTAGCGAACAGTTCCTTGACTTACTCTTTACCCTGTAGTCATAGCGAATAAGGTAAATATACAAGGGTATATTTATTGTACATCAACTTAAATCAACTGTTGGTAATATTCGCAAAGTATGTTATTGAATATTCCCCCATTTCAGATTTTTTCGACAATTTCCGAGAACCATCCTACTCGGAAACTGGTTTCTAGTACTCCTCGGTTGTTCTTTCGGACAAAATCATAAATGCACAACGGTTGTTACTTCAACATATCAGAGGTCACCGTCATGGGTCCAAGATCGAGAAGCCGTGGGATTAACCGTCTCTCAAAGGCGTCACAAAGCGATGGGAAAAAGATTGAACACAACAAATCCCTTAAAAATAAGGTCAGAGACGTATAAAGACTGCTTGAAAAGGTGAGACAAATCGAATGCTACGAATTTTTAGATGTTGTTTGCAGCGCGTCGAATTTGTTCGTCAGCTGTTTGAGGTATTTTTGTTCAGTAGAGTTCAGCGTTAAGAACAGTTATGAAGTCACTTTTTGCGCAGAGGGCAATGCTGCTGCTGCTGCTGCTGCTAATAAAACAAAACAAAAAAAAACTGAGAGAAGAATATTACGCCAGACCTGAGTGTCCAGTGATCAAGTTATTGTTTCATGTCACGTGATTGTAAGATAAATTGAGCCCTAAAAGAGTAATCACAATCACTGCAGTCAGGGAAACCTTAAAACAAGGAATCAGGAATCAGGAATCAGGAATCAGGAATCAGGAATCAGGAATCTAGAATCCGGCATCTGGCATCCGGCATGCGGCATGCGGCATGCAGCATCTGGCATCCGGCATGCTAAATTCCGAAACCGGAAACAGGAATCCAGATTCCAAAAATAAAGCAAAAACGAAGTTTTTCAAATACACAAAAGTTAAGTTGCAAATTTTTCTCCAGGAAATATTAAAAGGTCAATAAAAAATGACACCAAAGCACAGCTCTTTTGATAAAAAGGATTCCTGGCATTTGAGTTCAATAGGCGACCATTAATCCTTGTGAGGGCTATGGATATACCAACCTAGAGTGTTGTGCATCATAATTTGATTATAAGTACCCGAAAAATGACTAAAGTGCGATTGCTTGTAACTGCCTCATTGTTAAGTGATCTGCACGCAATTTGCCAGAGGTATGACTTGGCCTTCGTGCCCAGTAGATACACAACAAGTCAGCAAATGTCACAGAGAAGGGGCATTTCTATTAATAACTGGTTAAGGGGGTAGCAAGTCATCATTTTGCCTTCCACCCTGTCCTGCACAAGTGATCTAAATCCTTGGTACCAGTGGTAGCAAGAAGTGGGTCTGTTTATGTTCGCATGGGCCTGGAATCTGTTTTTAAGCAAAAATGGAGGATCAAGGCATGAACAGTACAGTGTCATGAAAAAGAAAACCTTTAATTGCAAATATTTGAAGAACAACTTGTCTTGGGTTGTGCTCACTGGTAAGTTTCATTAGATAGTTAAGGTTTTGTAAAACAGTTCAAACACTCAACGAGCATCCTTATAAGCTATAAGCTGAAATATTATGAACTAAACTTGAGCAAGTATTTTCTCGAATTTTCCGTCCACCAGATTACAACTTAAATCAGCATATGTCTACAAGATTTAGACTTCGTTAATACACTGCTAAGTATTACAGAAGCACAATTTCCGGTTTCCGGTTTCCGGTTTCTGGGTTTTAGGGTTGCCCCTGCAGTCACAGCAGTTAACTTGAATGTATTATTCTTCTCCATATACTGTTCACATTACATTTACTTAATAGTTCTGACAGGGAGAGCCTCTTATATCATGTTGATGATCAATTTCTTGATTCTCATGACTTAAATGCTTGATTCAGAATTGATACTGTATGGAGAAATCAGATACAACATAAGGCAAGCAAACTCCTTTTGTCTGCAGCTATTAAGTAGAACAAATATTCATCAGTTTCCTGTTTTCTATCAAGACCCAAACTTTTACTCTTGAGATCACTGGCTCATCATCTCTCACATCCTTCAGAAGAAAGCCCAAAATATGTGTTCTTCTACCATGGACTATTTAACAATTATTACACGAGCATGTGTTGGATATGAGATGATAGATAGCCAACGAGGCGTGTAACGCCAAGTTGGCTATAATCATCTTATATCCAACAAGCGTGAGTGGAATAATTGTTTTATTAAAAAAAACGCCCTCAAGATATTAGACAAATCTTCTCGACTTTATTCTGTAAGAAGAAACCGGATGTTACAATGTACAGATATCAGATTATACCATAATATCAGAATATTATGGTATAATACCAATATACCATAATATGGTATATGGTATATATAATATACCATAATATGGTACCAATATACCATAATATCAGATATTATGGTATATTGGTTCATATACCATAATGGCTAAGCCAATAAAAAGTCTTGAATGGCATTATCCAATGATCCAGTGTATAATAATATAAATTTTCCATTTTTTAAGAGTGATCTTCCAGCAACTGTGACAGTTGTCCAGCAACTGTGAGAGTTGTCCAAGAACGAATGCTTGATGTCTTAAAAGAGACAATTAAGGATAAAGCGAGGGAAGACAAGCAGAAAAAGATTGAAAAAAGATCTAAAAAGGTCAAATTCTTTGGTAAGTGATTCTGACACCTTTATTGTATGTACACTGGTGGTTGGGCAAACTTGGGTAGCAAATTTTGTAAAAAAGGTTACAGGAAGAAAGGGAATTGCATTATCTTCACATAAAGAAGCAAAAAAAAAAAAAAACAAAGAATGCACTCAAGACACATGGCCCATTCAGCAGGAGCTGATCTGGTTTCTATAACATGAAGTGACGAGGAGTATTACCGCTCCTCTTTGGATGGGAAGCCAGTCCTTCATAAGGTTACCCACCAGCATTTCATCAGGCTTTTCTGACAGTAGGCCAGTACCTGTTCTACTCCATGGTGGAGAGTGGCATTGTTTTGCTCCAGGGACACAACACAAGGACTAGACCTAACAAGCTGACCATAAGGCCATGGCATCTCCCACCAAACAGAAAACAAAGTAGAAGTATTTATTTTTTCTTAACATCATAATAATTATTTGCCACCCTTTCTATCCATGGTTACACTTTGTGTCCAAATTGATTCAAAGATCTTATTAGCGACATTTAAGAAAACGTTTTTTTAAGATAATTCACTGAAGATTTCTGTTTCTTTTTTCTATGCAGAGAAAAAAAAGATATTTAGAAAATACAAATCTTTTATGAAAGAGCTAAATGAAACAGAGGATAGTGAAACAAGGTTGGTAGAAGTCTTTTAGTACTAAGTATGGTACACTCCTAAATAAATGTAAACCTTGGGAAATCTGTCATGTGAGTATCTCACTTGTGCCCAGTCTCTTAGCTTGTTAACCCCTCAATCTCTTCTCAACCCAGAAGAGAATTGCCCTGTCTTGAGAAGGGGGTGGGGGGGGGAGGGGGGAGAGCGATATGGAAGGGGCAACAAGAGAAATAGGTTAAATTGTGGGTAACTTTTGATTATTCACCGAACCTCCCTTGTGTCCAGAAAAGGTGTTCTATTGCTTTTTGGAAATATTTCTGAATAGTTTGTACAATTTCAGAACATCACAGCCATGACGATTTGTTTTTATTTAAATGCATTCAAAAACAGTGAGAGGGTGTGTAGTATCCAAGTCATTTTAGGTCTGAAATTACTTGTTTCTAGGAGTTTTATAAACCACATTGAAGACTGGGAAACTTTTTTTACATTCAAAAGACTGTAGAATTCAGGGGCATCTGAGGATGTAGCCTGATCTTTGGGTGAGAGTAGTCCTTAGAAGAACTGAATTGATGTAATTACTGAAAAGAAGCAAATGAATTATACCACACTAGCAGAAGTCGTTTTCAGCTCTGATAATGATTATGACTTCTATTAAAGTTATTGAAATATCAATCATAACCACAGACAACAGTTCTTCTCAGGACTTCCCTTATGCAGACAGTCAGACTACATGATAACATATTGCTCCACCATTTACATTAGAAGTCAGGTTCAATCGTACAAGGAAAATATAAGAACTTAGAAAGTAAGGAATGTGGACCTTTTTACAGCCATTTCTATACAGTACTGCATAGTCTACAAGAGTTTGTTTGATCTACATGTCTGCAGAAATTCTCTACTTAAAAAACTTGAAGAGATCAAGCAGCAGTGGAATTATGTTCACGTAAGTTGAGGGTAGCAAATGGTAAATGTGTCACACGGATGTTACAATTTTGGCCTGGTCTCTAAATTGGTTGTGTTGTTTTCAGTGGGCTAAAAATGTATACAGCTTTCCTTTTTTGATCAAGGTAGTTCATATATTTTAGGATCAGCAGTGCTTGATTAGAATTAAGGAGTAATTACTAAGTACATGGTTGGTTTTTTAGAAGCTGTCATTGGCCCCTTATCAACTACTTGACAAGATTCAGAGGAATCAATCAAGCTGCGTTGTCCTCTAAACATTTTCTATTCTTGGGTGTCATCTAAGATCTTGTTACCACCATGTGTATGCAACTGCCACTGTCATTTTGTCTTGATAAAAAAACAAGTTAGGATACTTCAATTTAAAAATAACTTTTTGCTTATTAAGTAACTCTTTTTATCTTGTTTAGCATTTTCCAGAAAACACCAAGTATATTTCGTTGTTTCCACTGACGTCACATACAAATGCAGAAATTGTTGCTAAGCAAGGTGCAGTAATTTATGTACTATAATATATTTACTTGTTTTGATAGAATTTACTATATTACTTCAGGAAAGATACAAAAAGGTTATCCAAAGATCTCATTATTATTTATCCTTGATGTCTGCCATATAATTTGTATGATGGTAGTTTGGAGAATTTGGTATTGGATCAACATAATCCCCTAATTTATATTTTTCTTTATTCTTATCACTCTTCTGCTTGATGTTGTATTGATATTGTAAAGAGAAATTGTCTTGTTCACTGATGGGAGTTAAAGTCTAAACAAGTACAAACCTTGTTTGAATCAGCACAAACTGTGTTCTTAGATTGACTGTGGTAAAACCAAGTACAGAGTAATTGAATCAACCTATCAGACGACAGGAAAATATCACAACATCTAATCATATCAACCAACCAGATCTAAGGAAAATATCACAACATTCCGGTCATATCAACCAATCAGATGTAAGGAAAAAAATTACAAGGAGCTAGTAGGAATGCAAAGTAAGGATCAATGTCACTATCTAAACAACTGTGCACCAACCCCTACCCTGACCTAACAACAATCAACTGATAACAAGTTAGGGTTAATGTTAGGTTAGGGGAGGGGTGGGTGCACAGTTGTTCAGATACTGATCCTGATCCCAAAGTAAAACCAATCTATTAGCTAGGAGCATAGGAAAACGGGAGGGAGCAATTCTCATTTTGTTTTGATTTTTCATCTGTTTAGTTTAGAGGGTGGCACATTTTTTTTTAGACAAACCACAGAGCATAGTAAGGTAAAACCATTGCAATTGTTTAATTACTCTTGACCTCAATTTAAATTTTGATCCAAAGAGGGCTCAACCTTAGTTGCTTGCATTTCTTTGCAATTTGCAGAAAAAATCCAGAAAATTATTGCAAAGAAGGTGGCAGGGGGTGAGTTTGAGGATGCATCCAGTACAATTTGGAAAATGGGTAAAGCATCTCGAAAAGTGAAAAAGGAAAAACCTAAACTGGTGTTGAGTGATGAAGAATCTGGACGATTTGATTCGAAGGGAGACGGTGAAGATGGT